GTGGCCTTAGCGTATCCTCGTCCATGGTAGTAGAAGGCTGCGCCCCTTACCGCTCTCTTGGGCTTCCTTCGCAAACGGGTAAAAGGGGTTCTGTCGAGAACAAGAAAAGGAATATCTTAGCGTGATACTCGGGGAGTACTTGAAACCAATGAATGAATGGCTCTCTAAGGCTGCAAGCAAGATGGATACGGAAACCCAGCAAATGAGTCAAGAAGGCAAGTCAATTCAGCAAGAGCATCGGTCCTATCGTTTTCATCGTCCCATGGTTCCCAAAAACCAAAGGGGCTCTTCAGTGGCTTATTTCCTTCACGGTGATTGAAAGACGGACGTGGGTGGGGGAGATCCGGGCTATCACTTTCTTTTCAACGCTTCAACCTGCTTCTACTAGGGCTCGGTGAGAATCTTACCTACCTTCCTTTTCCCCTGTTGTCTTATCTAGCTATAAAATATCACTTCTCTAGCGCCTCAAAGAAAAAGGGCTCCGTAACTCAACCTTCGCCTTTCACACTAAGCTAATTCAAGCGCACTAAGCTAAATGAACCCTAAAGCTTCAGCAGCTATCCGTGACAAGGTGGTATCAGAGCCTTGGTTCGAGGAAGCCTGGTTCGAGCTTGGTTCGTGGGAGCGATACTTGTGGGCAAGCATGTCTGGCATGACTGAGGAAGTTGCTATCAACATGTAGGGAAGGGGAATGGAATCCCAACCTCCTCAGCAGGGAAGCAAGAAGGGACGAGGTCATAGTAAGGTACGTGCTGAGGACCTTGCTAGTCTATCTGTGAAAGTTTCTGCATTGGAGGAAGCATTGCTGGAGATGAGTAGTAAGGTCGAGAAGGTTGAGAGTGATGTTAGGACTCTAGAAAGGCACCCTCTTGATGAGCTCGAGAGTTTGAAGACGAGTGTGGACACTATATTTAATCGCTTCTACTAATGCAAGCGCAGTTTTCGCTGCTCAACTATATGGAAGTTTCTTCGTCTCGCCCATGTGTAAAGTGTAAATGGGGAACAACGAGCACCAAGCCCTTTTGCCTATGCGCTTACGAGGACTCCTTCACTTAATGACATTCCTTCCAGATCCAGTTTTGTTCTGATCGGGTAATTGCATATGATGATGATTACTGGTTTCGGAACAAGTCTTCAAACCAGATGCCTTCTGCAGCCGGATGTTCTACCAAAGTTTCAGGCGACACATATGCTCAACGGCTTTCTGGAAGTGAAGGGGATGGCGCAAACGAGGGGCTTTTCCACACTGATTTACCACAACCTCTGGTTGTATTTCCTCCAGACATACAGTCTTCTGACTCTTCCTCGGCAATGGCTACGAAATCAAGGGATTGGAGCTCTTCGGCTTCCCCTTTCAATGGTTACGAGTGTGAAATCATTGGTTCTACTCGGCCTAAAGAATTCTTCTCGCGGATACCCATTCTCAAATCTAAGGCGTTCTAGCCCGTTCGAATAATTCGTCTTTTTCAGTCTCCCGTATGGGTGCCGTGCCCTTCATTGAGAGGCTAGGAATTTCTTTAATCCCTTTCCCTTTCCCAGTCCTTTCTCAACTCAACTCTCGTGGCACTGGCCGTAACATCAAGATCTGAAACTCGAATAAGGTGGAAGGCGCACTTCCCTCTTGAATTGCGTTTGCGGGGCTTCTTGCCTCGGCATCTGTCTTGTCCGTCTGAATGATGGGACTCCCAATGGAATGGTTTGAAAACCTCTGCCTAAGGTCGAGTTACTTTCTCTTGTTTTGCTTTGACTTGAACGCACGTGACTCACTCGACCGAAAGAGTGCTTGAACATAACTAAGATTCTCGTATTCATAGGCAGGCTAACGAGGAGGTTAGCCCTTTCTATGGGGTGGGACTCCAATAGGGATTCGATTCCTCCTCTCCCGAGTGCCTGAACGCGCTATTTAACCTCTCAGGTAGGTCAAATGGCATTCCGCTACTGACCTAATCGACTGTTAGGCCAACGGACTTTTATTCAAAAGACATGAATGAAAGGGGGATGACACCACTCTAATGATTGGAAAAATCCTTAATATCATAAAGGAAAGGTCCTTTTTCTTAAATCAGTAATAGCAAAAACAGCCTATCTGTAATGGCCTACTCGTTACTCAAGCAAAGCAATATGCAACCGCATAGAGGAAGTTAAGCCAATCCCTCTATTTTAATAGTAAGATTTTATATCTTTTATTGGCACTTCTATAGAATAGAAAGAAGGAGTTGTCACCCCTCGTCAAAGTACGCCCAAAGACTTATCTAAAATTCCTTTAAGCGGAGCCCCTTTTTTCTGTGAGGGGTCGTAGGCCAGTCTTTCAGTAATTTCCGAGGAGTGTAAGCTATTAAAAAAGTAGAGGAATAAAAACCTCCGGGCGCCTTCCTATGTCGGAACTCCCCCAAGCATTCCCCATTCGTGAAACCTGTTCTTCTTCGTCCCACTACCTTCCTAGCCTAGCTGCCCAGATCGGATTCACTAATATAACCTATATTATTATTTACATTTCGCATCTCTCAAGTGAGAATAGAATTCCCTAGGTTAGCAAGAACGGCTAGAATAGATCTTTCATTCTAGACATACCATGCATAGGGTAAGGACACAGATCTTATATAAGATACAGGATACCACTAGACGAACAGTCTTGCTTGTGTATTGTCATGCACAAGGCAAACAGAGGTCTTAAGGGTCCTTGTGGCCACACCGAATGAGATAGGCGCTGGACCCGATGAATAAAGAGTTCTCGGGCATGGACTTAGACCTGTTTAAAAGAACTATAGGTCCGGTCCTAGCTTCGTGTGATGATCTTGGTCTACCACCTGTGATAGGCCGTCTTGCTTTCTCTTCTCGTTAGAGGGAGGTGGCAAGAGGAGGATATTCGCCATAGGTAACTATGTCAATCAGAGATTATTTCATCCTGTCTATTCTTGGTTGGCAGAAAGATTGAGACGCCTGCCCCAGGATGGTATCTTTGATCAAAGAGCACCTCTTGATCCGCTAGTTGGCCTAAACTTTTCCATTGCCGCTCACTTCTAGGGTCTAAATTCAATGTGGACCAAAGCTTTTATGCCCTTCGAGCTATGGCTTGGTCGGGGTAGACCTGTAAACCCTTATCTCCGAGGGGTGATTCTTCCTTTCTTGTCTCAATCCAAACAGCAGGTTCCCACTGGTGTGCACAACCAGTATCGGTGGTGGCTGGTCATCCATGCCAGTCAAGCTCTTCTGGTCTATGTTCGCTACCTGGGGCTGAACAAGCTTTCCGAACCTATGTCCATTGCTTTAAAGTCTCTTTCTCACTTTCTCAATGGTAGTGAACCTAGGCTATCTATTCCTGCTTGCTTCACACCAATCGGGATTTATTGAAGACTTACATTCTATTCTGCCAACGAAGGAAATGGTCGCTGCGGAGAATGACTGTCAGTCAGGAAACAACAAAAGTCAGATCGGGTCGGGTAGAGCGAGCCCTGCTGCCCTTTCTTCCTTTCTTTCCTATTAATCTATTCCTCGATTCGATCGAATCCCAATAAGAATAAATCTCCAGCAGTAAGATTGTGCCGGTCGAAATATAAATTTACGGTCGATTTGCCGAAATTCACTTACTTCTTACTTACATAATAATGGGGCACGCACTTTTTCGATGTCACGCACAAGCATCTCGCTACTCATGCTTGTGATTGTACATACAGGCCATCGACAACCCAAATTCGAATTAAACAAAAACACAGAAATTACGATCAATAACTTTCCCTACAACACTGAGGGGAACGCCATATGGTGCTAACGGTCGGTTCGGTGATACAAATCCGCCGTGAACAAGATCCTCTTCTAGTCGAAGGAAGCCTCAAGAACAGCCTTTGCAAGAGTAACAGAGTATTGGCATGATAGCCAGTTAAGTTACGCCAGAAACCTATTTTCAGCTACCAGACTTGGGTGGGCTGTAGCATCTCTTTTCTCACCCTTCGGGTGGTAACAGGGAAGCTATCGAATGGATCACTTAAGACAAAGGAACATCATCAAAATCATAAAATTACTTACTTCCTAACCGGACCCGGGCCGGAATGGGCTAACATAGCAGCCCAAAGAATGATGGCTTGGCCCTCTTTTTTATTTTGCAGGCTCCACTCCAATAGATAGAGTGAGGGCTTCTACCTAGGCCTATTCTATTGGAGTGAAGGTTAGCATTCAGATCGATTTTCAGCCGGAAATGCCACCTTTTCCTGGCTTTCCAAACAAAGCCCATCGAAGTCCAGTCCATCTAATTAATTTAATTCCCATTCCAGGACGGCCCAGGCCGCTATCCGAGTGCAATCGGCAAAAGCTAGTTTACCTTACTTATAAAAAAAAAGCTTTCGTTCTTAAAAGTAGGGAACAGCAAGTGTCTGATCCTTTCAATCAAGCGATAGAGGCAGAGGCTTTACTTCAATCGCCTAAGCAAGGACTAGGCTGTCGAGTGAGGATTGGCCGAGGCTCGAGTTGAGCATGTAGCTGGGTACAAATAAGCCAGTGAAATAGGACTAGGAAGTGTACGACGAAGCACGCGTGGTACGTAAGCGAATACGGATCACGTGGGTTTGTACTGATCCGCTTTCGAGCTGTCGAGTAAGGAGTGCTCTATCTCTTAAGAAAGGGGCTTTTGAAACCCGCCTTATTAGACGAGAAGGGGGAGTACTCTCTGATGTGCGTTCTATTATTGCCTCCTATTCCTGAGGGAGTGACCGGAATTAAGCCGCGTGGCAATACCCACAAAGGACTATTTGATTCGCTTTTTGGGCAGGGCCTTTCGTACGGATTGGAGTACGAAGATAATTATTCAGCACACTAAAATCTAGTGGATCTGGTTCCATATTCATGAAAAGCCGGGGTTGAAACATGTTATGAAACTAAGACAACAATTATTACTAATAATAAGAAAGAGTTAAGCGCCTCCAAGGCCTATAAATAGAAGCTTCTTTCAGTCTATATTTTCAAAGAGAGAGGTAGAAGTCAGAAAGAAAGACTTTCAGTAACACTTA